TATTGTAATGTTTTATATATTAAAAATTTAATTAAATTGGGAGACTTTACTAAAGCAATCTACTTATTACACCTACCCACACGCGAAAAAAGTATTAAAGTTAAGTTGTTCTTGTATTATTTGGAAAACAGCAATATTAATAACTGAAATTGACATTGGATCGAAATTGTTATTGGATTCAAGAGTAAGCTTGCTGATGGTTATCAGACAGACAATTATTAGATATATCATTTATATATACCCTATACCCGGGTATAGCCATGAAGTTATATCTATAACTTCATGGGTATAGCCTATGCCCATAGATAAGAGTGTATATACTGAAACCTATACCCGCCGTGGTAACCGAGAGAGCAGTATGTCAGATATTTCTTTTTTCAACCAACTTCTAAGGTAACTTTTTGAAAGTTACCTTAGAACTGTTTTTTAGGAGGACAGATTTTGATGATTCTTTTTTATTTTTTTATTTGGAAGCTGGTGTTTTCTCATCTCATAGCAAGAGTCGCTATTTATTTAAATGATTTTATGGAGTGAATTTTGTATGCCCAATGTGTTCTTCTGTGCTTCTGTATAAAATTTGCCACAAAGAGAATATGTCCAGTAAAGTTTTTTTACCAGTGAAAATCCTCAAATTAAAAGAAATACCTTAACCTTGTACTAGATTTTCTGAAAGAGGCATTACGGACAAAAGGAAAAACATAATTCAAAATCTGTGTCCATTAATGCCTGCTAATTGCAGACTTTTTTGGGAAAATTTGTGTGTTAATAATAATGTTGAAAACTTAGCAAACGAGGAATAAGGCACAGAAAATTAAACACATTGGAAAGACTTTCCATTTACTCCCATCGAGTTGCGGGTTGATACATATTTTTACAGAAAAGTTACACTATTAAGAGCACATACACAAAGTTACAATATGCGGAAGCGCGTAAGTTTTGAGAAAAAAGTTATTGAAAATCAATTATTCTTACATTCTTTATGTCTAATCCTACAATAAAACTGACGCCATTTTTTTATTGTTATTGTCAGTAGGGATGTCGATTCTTCCCGAAAAATATCGATTTTTTAAATAGATTCGAATTGTAAGCTGATATATCGATTCCCGAAAAATCGATTTCTAAAATATCTATATTTTTTCATGTTTGCATTTATAATGTAAATATAAATCCATTTTATGAGAAAAAAATCCCCTTCATCATAAAATATAGGGGGACTGATTCAGAAGGATTTCTGTACCTATTTTGAGACTGCTACGTCTCCGGCGTTGCGGGAAGAGCAGCCTCTACGCCTTAGCGTAACAAATCGCAGGCATCCCTCCTCGCCTTCGCAGCTTCGGCTTGTTGGTCGCCTTCGGCGACCAGCCTCAGCCGCTCCGGTTCATCCGATGCCTACGATTTGTTACAGCAGGCGGAGGCTGCTCCCCCTACGCGCCTCCGGCTCTATAAAACCACTCTAGGGGTAGGACAGACTCGTACCAGGTGGAGTCAGGGTCAATCAATTCGGTTCTTTGACATAAGTTGAACCTAACCTATTTTATTTGTTATCTGCCCTAATAGGTACTGTTAAATAAAACAAATTTCAATAAGAGATCATTTATCATGGTATCTTTCTTGTTTTTCATAAAATGGGTTTATATTTACATTATAAATAGAAACATTAAAAATATAGATATTTTAGAAATCGATTTTTTATGAATCGATACATCAGTTTACAATTTGAATCTATTTAAAAATCGACCCTTTTCGGAAAGAATCGACATCCCTACTGACGACAATGACATTACAAAATGGCGTCAGTTTTATGGTAGGATTAGATTTAAACAATGCAAGAATAATTGACTTTCAACAACTTTTCTCTCAAAAATTTCGCGTTTCCGCATGTTCTAACTTTGTGTGTGTGCTTAAAATAGTGTAACTTTTCTGTAAAAATACGTATCAACCCGCAACTCGATGGGAGGAAATGGAAAGCTAAGCCCTGTAGGAATAATTAAATGATAATAGATACGATAAGTGAATGTGATAAAATGTAAGCTAGTTTTTGAAACAGAATAAGTTGGTATAATCTTCCAGGTAACACTGATTCTAAAAGTTGACTTATCAGTGATTCTTAATTATATTTAAGTATTGTTTTTCATTAAGGTGCTTTTTGGAGAAGTCCTTTTGAAATAATTTTATGTTAAAAAGCTTTTTCATCTTGTTTGCAATTTAATGAGAATAATTTTGTGCCAAATAACACTATAATTATAAACATTATAATTTTTGATCTCTATAATTAAGTCCTCGCCTACGAGGATGGGAGGGGGAGGGGGGGGGTCAGGGGAAGCCCCCCTACCCTTCCCCGCTTGCGGAAATGTATAGTTTATGAGTAATAATTTCTTTTGTAAAATCATAACCTCACTTTTTTTACATAGGAATATTGACACAAAGTTACTTCTGTAACGGCTTCGGCGCTACGGGAAATGCAGCCCCATCGCCCTTGCGTAGCAAATCGCAGGCCCCCGAGCGAGTCGTAGCGGCTGAGGCTGGTCGCCGAAGGCGACCAATAAGCCGAAGCTGCGGAGGTGCGGATTTGCTACAGCGGGCGGGGGCTGCTTTCCCTCCGCGCCTACGGCTTTAAAAAACACTCTAGGGGTAGGGCAGACAAGACTACGTGGAGTCGGGGTGTTCCGAGTCAGTTTTAGTACAAATTCGATCTATCTTATCTAAAGTCAGGTTTCCCTAAACTCTGCTATGATAGTGGTAAATGAAACAATGTAATTTTAATTATTTAATTTATTTTATACACATGCTTTATTGCTCGCATAATTTCTTTGAATGGATCCTTTTTAAACTTTTTTACATTTCGTCTCCACAAATACTCTACTATCACGTCTGTAAAACTTTGAGAATTATTATAATTTTGTTTTCCTCCTAACCTAACCTCTTCACTGCTCTCCACTGCGACTCAATTCGTTGTGTATGAGTCCCATCTTCAGCCACAAATGGATTGTCTGGGTCTGAGTGGTTAACTTTTTTATGTGTGTACCCGTGTTCTGCCAAACAATCATATGCCCGCCAACAATCAGTATGAATTGTGGTACCCGCCGCCACATGTCTCTGTATAAGCGGCACCAGTACCTCAGCAGACCTAATATTATCCGGGCACACCTTTAGTCTGAGATCCTCAGACCCATCTTCTATCATACCGAGCACCCAGTGGCCTTCGATGTGACGTCCTATAACAAATAAAATTAATATTAGACATTTAGTATGACAAAAAAAGGTGTAAACATAATCATACTTATATTTACCTTTATTGTATTTTCGTTTTCCAAATTTGCTCTCATCAATTTGTACAATCTTTCCAGTAAACTGATTCTGTTTCTCGAGGTAGTAAATAACAACTACCTCTCTGCAGTAATTGTACCAATCACATATTGTATTTGGGCTTAAACATTGTTGTCTCTGTCGTTTATATGGGTCTTCATGGATTGTTTGATTATTAGACCATCCTTGTGAATATACATATATGAGGTAATATATGTGGGGCATATCAAGAGTTACATTTTCAAAAAAAGTCCCTTGTCGTCGTGAGATTTTAACTCCACTGCCTCCAGCTTTCCCCTTACAGGATGCTTTAGCACATATGAAAGTACCAAGCGATTTGCAGCCACTTGAGTATGAAATTTTCATATTAGTTTTATGTTTGCCGCACTTTCGTTCCTTTAGGACCAGCCCTTCATCCTCACTATATCGAACACATTGCTCGTTCGTTCCAAGTTCACGCACAATATCCGACAGATTCCACATGAACATAATCTCAGACACGTATAGTCGACGCTTCACATAGTCGCCGTCGTCAGAGAAGTCTTCGTCGATGTGTGATGGTTCCTCGAGTAAAGCGTCAGATGCCGAAGAAGGCCCCGCTACGGGTTCGTAATCGCTCATTCTCAGGTCCGGTAAGCAAGCCAAAGTCCAAAGTAATGCAATCCAATCAAAACCAGAAACAAAGCCAAGGTCAAACGTAAGGGCAATCAAAGAAGTCCAAAAACAGAGCAGAAGTCGTCGAAAAAACAGGGAAAACACAGCACTAAGCACAAAAAAGAACATTCGCGTGACTACTAGAGAAACGGAATGACAATTTATATTTGACATCATAGATAATATATTATATTTGACATTTACGGTTGCCGACAACATGGCCGTCAACAACCATTCCGATTCACACTTTTTGCATCTGTTTTTGACATCTAATCTCATAACACTATACAAAATTGTCATATTTGCGTTTCGTTATACGGAATTTTTATTGAAATTTATTTTTGTCATAATTAATTAAAAACGCATTTCCGACATTCAAAAACAGTTTAAAATGTTCATGCTTAACCCTGACAAGCCTCCTAAGTTGAAAACATAACTAAAATCAAGTACCGGATATCTATAGCCAACCCACTAATTTTACAGTGTACGAATGTGTGCACATTCGTAACGGTCGATAGGTGGAGTTAAATGTTGTGGCCTATAAATCACATTCAATTTGGGGTAATTTCGAATAAAAGTTAACTTTAGCCTTATTTACTCGTATTTTCGAAAACTGCAATAATGGTATGTTATTATTTATGTATTTGAACTTAAGTTTAAAATTTGGCTACTCTTTGAAAAATAACCCTGTGTATGCTTTGCATGAATGGAACAATACTGTTATTAAAATCATACAGTATTTCAAATACACGCGTATGAAACCAATTAGTGTGACAAATAGTCACTGTCGAATAGTAAGTAATTACTAAAGTAAATCGAATAACAAACAAGTTACAGAGCATGCCAAAAAAAGACATCCATACATGCATACTCGAAAAACATTACCCTTTTTTTTTTTTTTTTTTTTATAAGATAGTAGCCAAGTAAAGAAAAAACATTAATTTAGGCTACAGAACGTGCCAAAAAAATAGACATCCATACATGCATACACATTACCCTTCTCCTAAAGTAGCCAAGTAGAGAAAAAAGATTAGTTTAAGCTACAGAGCGTTGCCGCCTGCTGGTGCCGTCGCTGGGAACCGCACGCCTCGCACAGCACCACCACTCGAACTCGCCACCACCTTCTCGTGATATACTTCATGCTGGTCCGCCAACAAGTACTCGTTGCCGGTCTCCTCATCTAACCGCTCAACGACAACGACCACTTCTGGACGAACATTTCGCCTGCAAGACAAATATGAAAATTACATAACATAATTTAGTTCATACATATTTTATGTAATACTAGCTGTTCCCCGCGACTTCACCTGCGTATTAATTTATGACCATTAGATTTCATGGGTTTTATTTTATTTGTGCAGAACCCTAATTATTCCTTATATATATGCGTCGAACGGTTCGTGTATTGCATTTTTATACCTGTGATACATTCTAAATTAAACATCCGATTTGAATGAATTACTGCTACATAAATACCCTTAATGATAAAACTATCTATTCAAATAAGAATTAATACTATGAAACTAACCAACAACCATCCTAGCTACCACGGCTCCTATAAACTATTAAATATAACCTCTTCCCCTCGGGCTTCGGTGGACATTGGACGTCTTTCTTGTACCATTTTATTTTAATTTAAAAATAGTATTTTTCAAAGTAATTCTATATTAGTTAAATATATTGAGCTACCAGGAGCTTAGTGCATAAAGAGAGCGTTGAACATTAACTACAGTGACGGGGCGTGAGTAGGACATAACAATTAAACAAAGATATCGCTATAAACTGACGCATCATCGACTCCTGCTTTAGGCCTATTTATATACCGACATAATATAATGTAATTTTTCATGCAAACACGTGGCAAGAAGTTTATGAAAATGTTCAAAAAGGCTTAAATAAAGTATCTGACTGGCTAATAAACAACCTTTTAACATTAAAAATATAAGACTTTATTAATCAGTTTAAATTTTTAGTAAGCAAAATTTGTTTACTAAAGGTTATTATACTACTTAAGAGTATGTGATTGATAATAATCCTTGGGTATGAGGAGATTGCTACCATACTAATTTTATTCTATAAAAAATATTGTAAATTAATTCTATTCACCAAAAGTCTCGCTGGGTTTCTAACTTGTTCTTCCCAAGACGGAGGCTTTTTCATATCTCTAATTTATACGAGTGAAGAATTTTCATTGAATATAGACAAAGTTTAAAAACTGTGGTAGCTTCTACTTACACATTTTTTTGAAATAGCTTTAATACAAACATAATAACAAAATAAACTTACGAAGAAGGTGGTGACACTGGTAATGGCGGATTTACTTGTGCTGGCTCAGTGGAAGGTGCGGGTCCTAAAGGGAGACTTGGACACTCCAATTGCTGTCCATGTTCATCAAACATGGCCAGTAGGGTAACCTCATTGGAGTTATCGAATTCCCCCTGCATATCCTGCTCCTGAAAAACAAGTAAGATGAGACATTTTAGATAACATATAACATATTTCTATGGTCATGGGTTGGATTGACCAGGATAGCACCATAGATAAGAGTGTATAGATAGCACTGCTGTCTTATAATTAGTAAGTGAGAAAAACCAGAGACTCCTATTCATAGATGTGTTTCATGTTTATAACCTGTCGGAAATATCTGCGAACCTGGCTTGATGACGTCATGCAATATGGAGAGATGGCAACGGTACTGGATAGACGATAACGGGCGGAAATATCTGCGAACCTGGCTTGATGACGTCATGCAATATGGAGAGATGGCAACGGTACTGGATAGACGATAACGGGCGGAGGTGCGGGAAAGCGCGAGGGGAAGCGCATTCCAGCGAGGTTCGCAGATATTTCCGACAGGTTATACGTCATATGATAGGTGTAGATAATTAATATATACAGGGTATTTTTGGAACGCTCCCGAAAACTAAGACAGGCGACAACACCAAGTATACCTTTGATCATGGGTCACAAATAAATTCGATCCTGATGAAAAAAAAAATCATCTTTTTACAAGATTTTATTAGCTTTATTCACGCGCCATCATGTTAGTACAGCTAAATGAAACGATAATTTCATAAAAAATATCATGAAAATACTGAAACATAAAACCAGCAGTGGAATGACTGAATTGATATCACCTGACCTGAGCTAGATAAAGGTCAATGTACGCGCGAACACAAATTCGCGCGGCCCGCAACTAGCGGGCCATCCCACAATACCTAATAATTTACAACACGTGTCTAAATACCTAACTTATCTACTTAACCTACTATTTTGCCACTGTGCTTATCTCCACGTAGCCACTTTAATCCGAATTTACAGGTTAAATAACCCAAATAACTGGTTCGATTCCCCGCTAATGAAGAAATACTTAAATGAAATGTAACCAAGGTTGGAGTCATGCGTTTTTATTCATCGTGTAGGTATGTTTATTATTCTCATGTATTCAGTTATGTACCTATTCAGATTAGTCTAGTACTAAGTTATTTAAAAAAAAATAGTTATGAAACAGCTTACTGCTCTAAATCCTCCGTGGTCTTATGAGATGCGGCTCAAATTGTGCTCCATTCATTTCAAGGCAGATTTGGGTGCAGGCGGGGCATCATCGTGTGGTCTTCGACACAGTCCGTACGTAGTTTCTCGAAAGCATCCACGATCCTTTGGCGCATTTCTTCAGCACTATCACATTCACGATTAAAAACCCTTTCTTTCACATACCCCACAAAAAGAAGTCTAACGGAGTCAGATCTGGTGAGCGAGGTGGGCAAGCGTGTGGTCCTAGTCTGCCGATCCAGCGATCATCAAATAGCTCATTGAGGCGCTCACGGACGAACCTCACGAAATGTGGAGGGGCACCATCATGTTGGAACTATGTGCGGCGATATTCAGCCAACGATAGGTCGTTTAAAATGTCAACCAACTGTTCATTTATAAAGTTTAGGTATCGCTGTCCGTTCAGTCGCTCTGGCAGAAACACTGGTCCCAGTATGCGATCCTTAAATAAACCTGCCCATACGTTAACCGACCATCGGGTTTGGTGCCCGGTTTGTCGAACAGCGTGCGGGTTAACCTCTGAATACACGTGTGTATTTCTTCGGTTCCACAGGCCGTTTCTGGTAAATGTCGACTCATCCGTCCAGATAATGTGCTCAATGGAACCAGGCACACGTTGTTGCTGGTATAATAACCAACGGCAGAAAACTCGTCGGCGGTCGTGATCGCCGGGAACTAAAGCTTGCACTTTGTGCAATTTGTATGGGCGCATTGGTTACGCTTCAACACTTTGTGCACTGCACAGTATGACACACTTGTTCCATCCCGACGTCTTAACAATTTATTTAGCGATACTTCGTGTACCTAGGTTCGGATACCTAACATGTTGACCACTATAAACGTACGCGTTAGGCATTATGAAAACAAAAAAGAATCCAAAAACGTAACAAAAACTTTAATATCAACACGTAATCACAAGTAAATTTATTAAACAAAACGATTGAACTGTCGCTCGCGCACGCGTGTACAAAATCAACACGGAACTGTCTCAAAAACTAAAACGAACGAACCCCGTCAAGGCTGAAACCTACTGCGTCACAAGCGTGAGGCGACAGGGTTAGGCATTCTGCCGTCATAATAAAAAAGGAAGTAACTAACAAAAACGTAAAATGGAAATAAAAAATAAATTGATGAATTTTTCTTTCAGACCCCGTGTCTAAAGTATATTAAAAGGTATCTATATTGAAATATATACGTAGAGACATGAAGATTTTAAGGACGAACTTATTTTTTTTTTTAATTTGTTTATTTATTTAAATAAAACGAATTTTCCTTTTCATCTTAGATTAAAAAATACACCTGGCAACACAAAAACATCGAAGGCAAGACGCATATAACTATTTGGGTCTTCCCAACCTAATAAATAAAACAAAACTACCATTCATTTAACATTTTTACATATTTTGGAAAGGTCATTTGAAGTTGAAAGGACGCTAATAGTAATTTACTACTTTTTTCTTAGTAAATATTAGAAAAGCATTGGTAGTGAGACACAAAAAATAACAACCCGCAACTCTTGAGTAATGATTTTAAAGGGGATATCATACAAGACTTACTACGATAATTAAAAATTAAAACATTTGTACAACCGACTTTAATATAAATAATTAAGGATAACTCAAAAACTATTGGTCTGACCTCGATCAAATTTATATGGGACCACATGTGAAACACCAGCTCTTAATAATAAGATATAAGCTCTTAATAATAAGATATAAAATAATAAGACAAGAATAATTTAAATTTAAGTAATCGATGCAAATATTGTTAAAGATGACGTAGCAACTGGTTAAATAAGTCTTTTCTTTTATGTTGAATTTGTATAAGTCTTTTCTACTAATAAAATGTCATCTGTGATCAACAGCTACGTCTAAAATTCTGACGATAATTTCTAAAATATTGATATTAGTGAATATTAAAAAAATTTAGTAGATGCGTCTTCTTATCATGAGTCGAATGGTATATTTAACTCATTTATTCGAAAATTGTTAGATGCGCCCTTTTTTCTTATGACCGCAGCATTGTTTCATACCGAGCTAGATACAGGTCGACAGCGGAGTGAGTGTGGGTACAGTCGCGTTCTAAAGTACTACGTGGTATTGGGCTATTGTTTTATAATATTATAGTAATTAATTGTTTTAATGTAGAATCATAATAGGTGTTTTACTAGCTACTTAGAACTTTGGAAGAGGTGGGAATTAAAAATAGATAATGTTTACTTGAGCATTGTTTGTTATTTCTATCGTAAAATATAAAGTAGTTTGTAACAAAAAAACTTAAGCTAAGGGTGACACGCCGTCCATTATGACGTCTTGGGTCACATGGAAGCCAGATGTTGATGGTGTGTTGGTGTTACTGGTTGCTACTTCATCATCACTTTCATCTTCGCTTGAGCTTCCGTCATCAGGTCGATCACATGGTAATTTTTTCGGTATTCTTCCTCAACAATTTTAACTTTACTGCACAATTTTCCCCATTCACCTTCTCCTATCATATTTACCTTTTCGTTCACTAGTTTAGTCATAAAACAATAGATATAAATAATTTTTTTTCCTTCCTTTTTAAAACATCGTCGCGAGTCGCAAAGTAAGCTGTGTATGCGACTGTATTTTTGGAGCGAACAAAGCGCGGGAACCAATAGCATGCAGGCACAGTAATACTGGCCAATATGTGATAAATCGCTCAGTGCCCAAGTTCAAGGCCAGCGTTTTTTTTTCACCGTTCGCGCGTACATTAACCTCCATTAGTCAGGTGATATCAATTCAGTTTCCACTGCTGGTTTTATGTTTCACTATTTTCATGATTTTTTTTATGAAATTATCATTTCATTTAGCTGTACTAACATGATGGCGCGTGAATAAAGCTAATAAAACGTTGTAAAAAAATGTTTTTTTTCATCAGGATCAAATTTATTTATGACCCATGATCAAAGGTATACTTGGTGCTGTCGCCTGTCTTAGTTTTCGGGAGCGTTCCAAAAATACCCTGTATATATAGTATATAAATACCAACATGTATATATATATATATATACATATATATATATATATACGGAACGATAAACCAACATAACAGGAGAGAGATCAGGCGCAGAACCAACGGTTGTTACATGCTTTTCGAGGTACGGGGGTGAGACAGCGCCAACTTCCTGACTCTGGGCTGCTACTGGGAATTTCTTAACGGAAAAACTTATTAAATAATTTTATTGACCCAACCCAGAATTTGGACCCGGGACCTCATAATCAGCAGTCACGTTATACAACCACTATATACACTCATATTTATAATTATAATAAAGACCAGAGTATAATAAATAACTTACAACATTATTATGTGAAAATGTTTCTTCGTTTTCGCTGAGATCGTCCGAGTTACACCATAAGTTATCAAATTCCGCCATTTTTCTGAAAATGTATGTATTACACACATGTGAACATTTTGTGTCTTCATGAAAATCGAAAAGAGTAAGAAGACAAAGTTTATAAAATTTATATATATGAATTATGAAATACTAAATTCTACACTTAAATATCTAACTACTATGTAGAAAAAAGCACTCGAAATTTCATAAAGAAAACAAATATATAACAAAATTATATCGACATCGTAATAATACACACTCAGTAGGAGCCTCTAATAAATCGAAATAAAATCAATCATAGGTATATATTTATTTGTTGTTTATGTAATGTTTATTGAGCAACGCCATTTTTGTTGAAAACAATTTTGCCATAATTTTCACGATTATATCGAAATTATAATATAAAACGTCATTTTTGCACATTGGACTGTATAAAATATGAGTTTCTGTGGTTTTTTTTTCATGATTTATGGTGATTATTTACACTTTATATTTCATTTTCAGTTAATTCTGACTACTTTATTTCATACGTGAACGACGGTATTTGAAATGCTAATTTTATAAATTGAATAAAAATTGTTAAAATACGAAATATAAGCAAAACTTTTTAAAAAACAGTGTAATTACATACCCTTGGTAAAAAAAAAAAACTGAACAAAGTTTTGTAAACTATTAAACACTCAAATTTTAAAAATAATACAGTAGGGCAAGAGTCACGCACACGACATTGGGAAATTGGGATATACTGTAGTAAATACGACGCATCATGGCGGAAACTCGTCATTTGAACTAAATACTCCTATTTTCTAGAAGCGTAATTTAGTAACGAGACTAATTCTAATAAAATTTTTAGAAAATTAGGTATATAGTTCTTATAAATAACATTTAAAAAATAATTGTTTTGATGGCGGCTGTACACGCTCGTCTCGTCGCGTCGCGTGCCTCTCGTCGCGTAGAGGTCCGACACGAGAGCACACCATGTATTGTACACACTCGTTGTATCACTTGAACTCCGGATGCGCACTGCGATGGACGTAGAAGAAACTGTTGCTGTGTTTTGCCTTTGCTATTATTTTATTATAATTTTTTACATATTTCCAATCAAAAGAAAATTAATAAGCCATGGTGGATGGTTTCTATTCACTGTAATAGAACCATGTAACTTCATATACTGTATTTAACAACATTGAACAATTTTCTTGATAATTTTTTATAATTATCATGGCGGCTGTACACGCTCGTCGAGACACCACGAGACAGGCCGAGTACGAGTGTGTACATGGTGCCCTCGTCGCGTCACGTCGCGTCTCGCGGTCCTCGTTCGCTCTCGGAAGCATGTCGGTTTTTTGCGCTCGAGTCAAAGGGTCTCGTGAGTCTCGCGATGAAAACGAGAGCGCGCCTGTACACACTCGTTCGTTTTCAGATAATTATAAAAATTATCCAAAAAAACTGGTTCAATATTGTCAAATACAATATAGGAACTTACATGGTTCTATTGCAGTGAATAGAAACCATCAACCATGACTTATTAATTTTCTTTTTATTGGAAATATGTAAAAAATTATAATAAAAAATAGCAAAGGCAAAACACAGCAACAGTTTCTTCTACGTCCATCGCAGTGGGCATCCGGAGTTCAAGTGATACAACGAGTGTGTACATGGTGTGCTCTCGTGTCGAACCTCTACGCGACGAGAGGCACGCGAGGCGACGAGACGAGCGTGTACAGCCGCCATCAGAAAACAAACGAGTGTGTACAGGCGCGCTCTCGTTTTCATCGCGAGACTCACGAGACCCTTTGACTCGAGCGTAAAAAACCGACACGCTTCCGAGAGCGAACGAGAGCCGCGAGACGCGACGCGACGAGGACACCATGTACACGCTCGAACTCGGCCTGTCTCGTGGTGTCTCGACGAGCGTGTACAGCCGACATGAGAGATCTACAAAATGACATTTTGAGAATCCAAATGGATTTGCCGAGCTTTGAAAGGTCAAGACTTTGACAGTTCATTAAACCAATTAGTCAGACCTATGGTCAAGCCGAAGACAATATCTTTTTTTTTTAAAGTGAGCGCTAGGGTAACGAAGATAGCAATACGTTGTCGATAAGTGAAATGTTTTGTGAAATTATCAACCACAGTTTCATTACACGGTTCTCAAAACATTGCAGTGTACGAATATCCATATCATGCCGTGTGTCGTAAAAAGCTACTAGACTTGGGGAAGTATTATTTTTAATAACTATGACCGACGTTATAGGTCTATAAAAACAACAGTGAAAAATCACTTACTTTGTCACGTCGATTACTCATTAGAAATTGACATAAACGTTATTTTTCACCGTGATGTTAGTTGTCAGTTATGATTAATAGGGGACAGAGTGAAACAAATCAGGATATGGGCAGCAGTGTCTACTCTCTAGTCTAATATGGACAAAATATGTGAGGCCCTGCGATTTTACCTTGCTTTTTAACCTGCTAAGTTGTCTCAATAATTATTATAAATATTACAAATATAAATTATTATTGATTTTTTTTATTTATAATATTTCACCATTTTTTAATGTTTCTTTTTGTCAAAAATTACTTCGCAGACGCTACTTACCAACGGCAGCGCGGTTATAAATTCTACTAATTTTCTGGGACAGGCGGGCTACGCTTCAGCACGTAGCGATCGTTCTCCTGTTCTCTAACCTCCATGCTATGATCTATAGTGGACTTTACTAGGCTCTATTAGGAAAAGTGGGAGGAAAAAGTCCGAACATGTTTTTAAATTTAATCTCGTCATTTGCTCATGAGCTCCTCTGTATGGCCATGACCCATGGCCAGAAGTAGATTGTTACGACCTTATGAAAAAGAAAAAATTGTAAGGAAACTAAAAGGAAAGGGAGGGGAGTAATTTTATTATTTGAAAAATATTTCTATGTAAAAAAAGTCATCAAATAACAAGATGAATTAATTTATTAAACAAGTTGCATAAACAAGTCCAATGGTTAAAACAATGATAAATCAAATCTAGTTTACTGATAAGAAAAAAATTCAAATATTATGTCACTTCCACAACTAAGGCAAATCTAACGAAGCCCCATATATTAAAAAATCCATCAAGCAATTTAGGTTACATACGTGCATACTTAAAAAACATTACCGTTCTTTTGAACTAGCCAAGTAAAGAAAAAAGGTTATACTATAAAAAAAAACAAAACATGCGGTAACAGATTAACCGCTCAACTATGGAGTGTAGAAGTAAGGAGTACCAACTGCCATACGAGAATAGTTAAAAAACTGTCCATCTGTAAGCACTACAGCGCTCGAGTAGCTACGAGGTATGTTAAAGCGCCGTAAAATACGTTGAGTGATTTTGAAAATAAAAATTTTGAAAGCAATAAAATAATTATTGTAAAAAGAATTATGGTGAGTCTGTGCAATAAAAAAAATTATAAAAAGTTCTTTAAAATTTAGACTGTAGCTACAGTGGCGCCACCCGTATTTAACGCCTTCCTACGGACACTTTTTTATACAGAGTTTGTACTCCTTACCTCTACACTCCATACCTCTTGATAGAGAGTAATTGTGTTCTGTGCTCCATACGCTCAACCGCGCTCAACAGTCAAAACATCCATCCCCGCTGTCAAATATCTATTGTCAGTAACTGTCAATGTCATCCATTACGGCGATTCAATTCATACCATTGTTTTACTTTATTTTTTCATTATTTTTGTTTACTATTATACTTCCCTTTTAGAATTAATGTTATAATAATATATAAATTTAGGTGAGAAAAACATGTTTATTATATTTTATTGTTTAAAGTATAATATTATACCCACATATTACATAGAATATGGTGAAACGGAAGATCTTTTGACAGTGCAGCGCTGAGTTATTATGGATTGATCTCGAACATCTATTGTTAGGTAACCTAAGGTAAATTGTATTCTTCATCTCGTACACACCCTCTCACACACGACATTTTACATATTTTTGTCTTTCTATTTACATTTTTTATAACCCACATGTAATATAAAGAATAAAGTTAGGTAATTTTTCCAAAATATAAATAAGTAATTTATGTTTATTATGTCCGGGGAGTGGCTCCATATGCTGAAATACAGGTTCTGGCCTAGTTCGGCAATGGATGCTATTTTTCATGTTATAAGATAAAATATTCCTATGTAGTTTATAAATAGACATATTGTTAAATAATATATATGGTAATAAAGATTATTATAATTATAGGAATGATGCCATTTTGAAAGATACTGTTGAGAGGTTAAGAATATCCACTAGCACCGTTTCGTCTCGTCTCGTGGGTGCCGTAAGACGCGTCGGAGGAAAACTGAAACAGAAAATGGGTAACAGCATCTTGATCTTCTTAATAATAACTAAAAATTACAGGTTTTTTTATAACCAACGATAAAACACAGAATGACTTTCAATAAGTGTTATCCGTATTGAATAAAAAATATTGTATTCTATTTATTCAAAAAAATTAAATACAAAATATTATAAGACAGATGGAAATGTCGGTTAGGCTATTTTGAAACAAATGCAAGTTTTTACATTCAATACATACAGAGTTATTTTGCAATAACTGGCCAAATTTGCAGAGAAAGTTCAGAATAAGTAATATAAGCAAATAGTGAAGAAAAATTAATTTATATTTTTTTTTGCACCCAGAAGCAATTGGAAAGGGCTACCCTTTACGTAGAGAGGCGGTAAATGCTTTATGCATACCACGACAGCCGGTCTGTCGTGGTTATGTGGGACTCACTGTTTCTAACCTAAAGTGGAGCCTAGGTGCTACCCACTAAAAACCGCCTGTGTGACTGACGATTGGCCGATTAAGCCGCTTCGTCGGATCGGAAGCGACCCTCTTTTGGGAGAAGAGGGCGCAGTTCAAAAAAATCTCACATACGGTCCTTTATGGTCCTTATTATGGTGTTTATCTTTTGAATTCAAAATGCATGGTAATGCACTGTTTTAACTAATTTTACAGTATACGAATGTGTGCACATTCGTAACGGTCGATAGGTGGAGAT